TTCCCACGATCATTCTTGTAATCAACGGCATGACATTCACTTAAGACATTACATATAGTCTCGTTCTCTTGAGGACTTATCATGCTCAATGAGGTATGTCACATCAGCCTGATGGTACTGATACCATTTGTAACGTTTCATAACCCAAAAACAACAGACTGATCCAATAACTTAAAAATCAATTTAAAATCATGGTGAAAGTTATTATAGCCACAACTTTATACCTATATGGATATCCCAAATCTATATTAATAAATTAATGGAAATTTATACAATTTTGATTATCTGCGTTTTTGTTTCACGAGTGAGGCCTATGAGACTTACAGTAGAAAATCAAGTTCCGATCTCGTCCAAAACATTTCCGTTTATCTTTTTTTCCAAAAAATGAATTACATTTTTGGTCCTTCGTTTATGGTTTTTTTTTCGGTTTTCGTCTCTCCAATTCGTAAATTACACTGGTTAAGGGGGAGGGACTGAGGGTGCTCAAAAACCTGACCAACCCCACCCAACCCAATGCGAAATAACTCAATCTGAAGCAACCTGATTTCTAATCGAGTTATAAAATTTTCAAACCGTAGGTATTGGGTTGATATTGGGTTACTTTTATTTGAACCTAACCCAACTCGATAAACCTGATATTCTTTTATTTCTTTGATTTAATATGATTGTTGAGTTTGTGTTAATATATACATTAGACAATTACACTATCACGTACATTCTTCATACATACATATTTTCAATCTATTATCCATCTCCATATAACTCATTCGTATATATGACTAGTAATATGAACATATATATGTAAATTGAGAAAATTAATTAAATGTGATATACGTCAGAAGTATGGATAAGTTGTATCAAATGGTTGATGATGAAAAAGAAATTATGAATAGAGAAATAACATATTTAAGGTTAGAAAAATATTTTGATGCACCAAAGTATCAACCTAACCAACCCGACTAACCCGATCAACCCGTACGGTTTGTGTTGGGTTGAGTTAAGATTTTTCAAACCGCAAGCATTAAATTGGGTTGTTCAAATGTCTTCAACCCGATCAACCCAACCCATGAGCACCCCTAGGGAAGACTACATAACGAACATTCGTAAGATACACAACTTTTTTTGTTTTCATCACATGACTAACATAACGTATCTAGACTAACGATAATACGGGGATAGACTATATTAGGTTCGGAAACAGAAAAAATTGATCAACAATGTATTTTACGAATTTTATAGAAGAAACCTAAAAAAATCACAAGGATGGTGCATGATTGGTTTGAGCTTGGCTCCAAAGATCAAAAGTATCAGGAGGTCCCAAGTTCAAATCCAAGAAAGAAAAAAAATCCCCTTGTGGCCACGGAGGTTCAAATGCAGTGACTCCGGGCTATCTGCAAAGCAGGTGATCGTCCTGAGATTAGTCGGCTTGCGTAACGGGTTGGATATCCAGGTTAATAAAAAAAACTGTAATTCACTATTTTAAATGAAAAAATCAGTTATGAAATAAACATGATAAAAATGACATTCTTCAAAAAAAAATTATATAATTAAAAGGGGTCAATTTTTATTGTACCAAAATATGAAGGGTCAAACTTGATATATAAACACGATGTTGACTTGGAGAATATATTACCATGTGTTTTTTTAAGAAATTAATGGATTTATTTAATGTACATATTCCATAACTTATTGGTGAATGTTTGTTGGAAACTTGATTAATAAGTTACTGTGGTTATAATTTCTTTGTCTTAATATATATATATATATATATATATATATATTTTTTTTTTTTATTTAATAGAAAAAACAATTTATTTTGAATTATAGAGAGAATATATTTTTTTCTATCCTCATAATTAATAGTAGTATGAGAATATAAATATTTGTTTTTAATGGGTACTTATTTTGAGAGAAATTAAGGGGTTATTTGACAGTTATTTAATGGTTTGATACAAAATGATTAAGTGGTCAAGATGATTAAGAGACTCTCATGGTACACTGCAAAATGAAATATAATTATTTGGTAATTGTTTAGAGTGAAATTAGGGTGTTGAATGGTTAAGGAAAATCCATGATGCAAAATCATTTAGGGTGCGTTTGGTTTGCAGGAATGGAATGGATTTTGGGGAATTTGGATTTTAAATCCATTCCAATCCTATGTTTGGTTTGCCAAATTGAAGGGATTTGGAATCCAGGGATTTGATTAAAATCCAGTGTATGCGGGATTTGGAAATCCTTTGCATAGGGGCGGGATTTCAAATCCAATCCTTTCCTTCCCATCGCTTCCTGTCGATTATTGCGTCTCCCTTCCTTCCTCCCGCTTCCTTCACCCATATTCCCTCCCATCGCTTCCCTTCCATCGCCGGTGCTCCCTTCCCGTCCCTTGCGAAGCTGTGCCCTAAGGTCGTCTCGCCGGTGCTCCCTTCCCGTCCATTGCGAAGCTGTGCCCTAAGG